TTGGTTCTATTCTTTTCGAAATTGCAATTTTGGAAGACTACTATATTCTTTCTATTCTATTCTATTTTTTGCGATATTATTTTATTCTATTATATTCTATTTGATTATTTTATTTTCTATTCTATTCTTTTCAATTCCTTTATTTTCTATTCCATTCTTTCTTATTCTATTCTAATCTATTCTATTCTCTTCAAAATTTGAATTTCAGAAGATGGCTATATTCTTTCTATATTATTGTATTCTAATCTATTCAAATCTATTATATGCTTTTCTATTTTATTGCTCTATTTTCTTTTCTATTCTAGTCTTTTATTTTCTATTCTATTCTGTTTATTCTATTCTATGCAAATTTTGAAATTAAAATTTTGGAAGACAGCTATATTCTATTTTATTATTTTTTTCCACTTTATTCTTTTCTATTCTATTCTTTTATTTTCTATTCTATTTTTTCTAGTCTATTCTATGCCTTTGCATTCTATAATATTCTTTTATTTAATTTTCTACTATATTCTTTTATATTCTATTCTGTTTTATTCTATTCTATTTTTTCTATTCTGTTCTTTTTGAAATTCAAATTTTGGAAGACAGCTACATTCTTTTTATTTTATTCTATTCTATTCAAAATTTTAATTTCAGATGGCAACTATATTCTATTTTATTCTATTCTATTTTTTCTATTCTGTTCTGTTTCTATTCCTTTCAATTATATTCTGTTCTGTTTTACTCAATACTTTGCTATTCTATTCTCTTCAAAATTAAAATTTCAGAAGACAACTATATTCTTTCTATTTTATTCTATTCTATTTTTTCTATTCTGTTCTATTCCTTTCAATTCTATTCTGTTCTGTTCTACTCTATACTTTGCTATTCTATTCTGTTTTATTCTATTCTATTCTTTTCAAAATTCGAATTTATATTCTAACATTAACACACATAGCCTTTGCAGGAAATCAGAAACATTCAGCAACATGTTTACATTTCAAGTTTGTTTTTGAATTCAATTTCATTTTGAATTCGATTCAATTTCTGATAGTTTTATATTACAGGCAAAATGCCATATCTTTATTTCAGATTCATTTAAATTCATTACTATTGTAATTCAGAAATTCGGATACATCCGAATCTTCACATAACAAATGGTTAGCACTGGCAGTACTAGGGATGTTGGTTTGAATCTCAACCACGACACCTCCTGCCTGGAGTTTGCATGTTCTCGCTGTGCCTGTGTGGGTTTCCTCACGGTACTCCAGTTTCCTCCCACACTCATGCTGTTAGGTTAATTGGTTCCTGTCTAAATTGGCCCTGGTATGGATGAATGTGAGTTAGGGACCTTAGATTGTACACCCCTTGAGGGTTAGGGACTGATGGGAATGTACAATATATATGTAAATTGACGGTGCTATATAAGTATCAGTAATAAACAATTTTGTCTAATGCAGGCCATACATGGTTCGAATTCCGAACGATTTTCGCACGAAAATCGGCCCTAAGAATAATCGGCTGATCTTCGCTCTGTTAGTGGGTCAATGGCATCAGCCGATTTTCATGGTTCCTCCCCATTTCGTTTATCGGGCATGCTGGAAAATACGTGAAAAACGACCGATTTTCGAAATCATTGGTGGCACCATTGGATTACAGAACGAACGTTTCGATTTTCGGACGGAAAATCGTTTGGAATTTGAACCATGTATGGCTTGCATTAGCTTCGATTCGGAATGAAACAACCTGCTCATGTCTACCAGTCCCCTTGCACAAGGAGAGAGGGCAGCAGCGAGCAGTCTTTATTACTGGAAGTCTCACACTGGATTACAGCACAGATCTGGAAGAAATACCCAACATACACCAAGAATCACATGAGAAAACACACGACGATAGATATTATATATTATACACACAATATAACTGGATAGAACATTTATAGGTAAAGTTGATCCAGGAAATATCCGATTGCCTCTCAGGGGATCAAGAAGGAATTTTTTTCCCTCCAGGAGCAAATTGGCTCATGCTTTGATGGGTATTTTGCCTTCCTCTGGATCAACTGTGGGTATAGGATTATAACTTTTTTTTTTTTTTTTAATGGTTGAACTGGATGGACTTTTGTCTTTTTTCAGCCAGACTAACTATGTAACTATGTAAAATTTCCTTATCCCAGAGTTTAGCTTTAAACGTAGGTGAAACATGGTCAGAAAGATGGACTTCCCCTTTAACCCCTTGGCACCGGCGCTTCCCGGCTCTTTAAGGGTTCCAGAAGCCGGGAGGCGGGGTGGGGTTTTAGGATCATGTGACCACCGTGATTCGCTGTCACGGTGGTCACATGATCAGGAAAGGTCCCAATCGAAAGAGGAGATTGGGACCTTTCCGTGAGTACTGGACATGTGTGCTGGGAGCACACTCTCAGCACATATGTATTTTTTTAATAGAATGCAAATGTGCGGCCGCTCGGCTTCTAGGCACAGACACCGGGAGGCCTCACATTTGCGTTCAGCCGGCGCCAAGAGGTTAACCTGTCTGCTGTTAGAGGCCCGTAATCCTTGTGGCCCCCTATACAACAGGCTGCACGCCCGCCCCTGTACTCGCTGTAAGGTTAGGTTCACACCTATGCAGTTTGCGTTTGATCTGTTTCTGCGGTGCGTTTTTGCACATGCATTTTTGGCGAGTTTTTGATGCGTTTTGTGTTTTTTTTCCAACTTGTTGCTGGGCAGAATAAAAACACAAAACACATCAAAAACACACTACATGGTTTTCTGCAGCGTCTCCATCGAAGTCTATAGAACCAAAAACGCAATGTATTGCTTTTAGAAAAGTCCCTGACCCTTTCCAAAAAAACGCACCGGGTGAAAACGCGGAGATGTGAAGGTGTCCCATAGGAAATCATGTTAAATGGACTGTACTGCGTTTCTACAAAACACTTAGGCAGGGGCGTCCCTAGGGTTGGTGTCACCCGATGCGATAACACTTGGTGACACCCCCTCCAACGATCCCCACAGAATGGATTGGATCTGCGGATTGAGCATAATGGATCGAAGTCCGATCCATTATGCTCAATCTGCAGATCCGATCCATCCTGCGGGGATTGTCGGCTTGCTTTACAACTTACCTTTTCGTGGAGCGGTTCCGGTGTCACCCCGTATAGGTTGCATGTTGACGATCCCCGCAGGATGGATTGGATCTGCGGATTGAGCATAATGGATCGGAGTCCGATTCATTATGCTCCCCAATCTGCAGATCTGATCCATCCTGCGGGCATCTTTGGCATGCAACCTATACAGGGTGACACCGGACCCGCTCCACGAAAAGGTAAGTTGTAAAGCAAGCCGACGGACGGTCCCCGCAGGATGGATCGGATCTGCAGATTGGGGAGCATAATGGATCCGACTCCTATCCATTATGCTCAATCTGCAGATCCAATCCATCCTGCAGGGATCGTCAACATGCAACCTATACGGGGTGACACCGGACCCACTCCACAAAAAGGTAAGTTGTAAAGCAAGCTGACGATCCCTGCAGGATGGATGAGATCTGCAGATTGGAGAGCATAATGGATCGGACTCCTATCCATTATGCTCAATCTGCATATCCGATCCATCCTGCGGGGATCGTCGGCTTGCTTTACAACTTACCTTTTTGTGGAGTGGGTCCGGTGTCACCCCGTATAGGTTGCATGCCGACGATCCCCGCAAGATGGATGAGATCTGCAGATTGGGGAGGATAATGGATCGGACTCCTATACATTATGCTCAATCTGCATATCCGATCCATCCTGCGGGGACCGTCGGCTTGCTTTACAACTTACCTTTTCGTGGAGCGGGTCCGGTGTCACCCCGTGCGGTAGGTGTCACCCTGTGCGGCACGCACTCCACGCACCTGCCTAGGGACGTCACTGTGCTTAGGTGTGAACCTAGACTAATACATTTCCTATACAGCAACTTAGTAAATAAGTTCATCAAACAGGAAAACAGTAAGAAGAGAAGATAAGAGAACAACAAGATGATCCAGCGGGTAGTCGTTAGCTACTGAGTGACTTTTCTCTGGGAGGCAAAGCGATTGGAAAGCCGCAAGGAAGCAGAGGATATGGGAGAGGGACAGAAATAGCTCCTTCTCCCCGAAGCGGAAGATCAGAACAGTAAGCAGATGTGACCTCACGCCTCTCTCTCCCTAGCAGGGTCCCTTCCCACTGGGGACATGTCTGCTCTTTTACCCCCCTTCCTCCATCCGGACCATTCACAGACACAAGCTGGGGATCCGGCTGGTGTGCTCCGCTGCCGGATATGTCCCTTTGTGCCCTCTATATCCGCACAGAATTGTTTTATTGAATTGCAGCCACTCACGGTGACAGGCCGGAGAGTGGAACGCCACAAGGGAAGAGCACTGTTATGTCACATAGCATTGTATATGATAATGTCACAGCGCCAGGGTGGAGAGGGGCTGCATGGGTGTCACCAGGTGGAATCATCCCTAACTCAATGACATTTGGTCTGTTAAAGTACTGTACAGTGTAAACCATTGGCATCTTTGTAAATAAACGGATTGCTTTTACTTTACTGCATCTCAGTGCTGCTGATCTCCTGCTGCCACTTTGCAGCCACTTCATGTCTACACGCACTCCAGCAATTGCAGGATGGGATTTACATAGTTACATAGTTAGTATGGCTGAAAAAAGACAACAGTCCATCCGCTTCAACACCAAAAAAAAAGTTATAATCCTATACCAGGGGTCTCCAAAGATTCTAAATAAAGGGCTGGTTTACTGTCCTTCAGATTTTGGGAGGGCCGGAGTGGCCAGTGGGAGTAGAAAATGTCCCAGCATCAGTAGGAGTACAAACAGTGACATTGTGCTTGTAGTCAGTGGAAGGTGGGGAATAGAAAAGATAGTGTCCAGTCATTGGTGTCAGTGGGAGGAATAGTGTCCCATCATTGGTATCAGTGGGAGGAATAGTGCCCCATCATTGGTGTCAGTGGGAGGAATAGTGCCCCATCATTGGTATCAGTGGGAGGAATAGTGCCCCATCATTGGTATCAGTGGGAGGAATAGTGCCCCATCATTGGTATCAGTGGGAGGAATAGTGCCCCATCATTGGTGTCAGTGGGAGGAATAGTGCCCCATCGTTGGTATTAGTGGAAGGAATAGTGCTCCATCATTGGTATCAGTGGGAGGAATAGTGTCCCATCAATGGTGTCAGTGGGATGAATAGTGCTCCATCATTGGTATCAGTGGGATGAATAGTGCCCCATCATTGGTATCATTGGGAGGAATAGTGCCCCATCATTGGTATCATTGGGAGGAATAGTGCCCCGTCATTGGTATCATTGGGAGGAATAGTGCCCCGTCATTGGTGTCAGTGGGTGGAATAGTGTCCCATCATTGGTGTCAGTGGGAGGAATAGTGCCCCATCATTGATGTCAGTGGGAGGAATAGTGCCCCATCATTGGTATCAGGGGGATGAATAGTGCCCCATCATTGGTATCAGAGGAAGGAATAGAGCCCCATCATTGGTATCAGAGGAAGGAATAGAGCCCCATCATTGGTATCAGAGGAAGGAATAGTGTCCAATCATTAGTGTCAGTGGGAGGAATAGTGCCCCATCATTGGTATCAGTGGGAGTAGTGCCCCATCAGTGGTGTCAGGGGGAGGAATAGTGCCCCATCATCGGTATCAGTGGGAGGAATAGTGCCCCATCATCGGTATCAGTGGGAGGAATAGTGCCCCATCATTGGTGTCAGTGGGGAGTAATAGTGCCCCATCATTGGTATCAGTGGGAGGAATAGTGCCCCATCATTGGTATCAGTGGGAGGAATAGTGCCCCATCATTAGTATCAGTGGGAGTAGTGCCCCATCAGTGGTGTCAGGGGGAGGAATAGTGCCCCATCATTGGTGTCAGTGGGAGGAATAGTGCCCCATCATTGGTATCAGTGGGAGGAATAGTGCCCCATCATTGGTATCAGTGGGAGGAATAGTGCCCCATCATTGGTGTCAGTGGGAGGAATAGTGCCCCATCATTGGTATCAGTGGGAGGAATAGTGCCCCATCATTGGTGTCAGTGGGAGGAATAGTGTCCCATCATTGGTATCAGTGGGAGGAATAGTGCCCCATCATTGGTGTCAGTGGGGAGGAATAGTGCCCCATCGTTGGTGTCAGTGGGAGGAATAGTGCCCCATCATTGGTATCAGTGGGAGGAATAGTGCCCCATCGTTGGTGTCAGTGGGAGGAATAGTGCCCCATCATTGGTATCAGTGTGAGGAATAGTGCCCCATCATTGGTATCAGTGGGAGGAATAGTGCCCCATCATTGGTGTCAGTGGGATGAATAGTGCCCCATCATTGGTATGAGAGGAAGGAATAGTGCCCCATCATTGGTGTCAGAGGAAGGAATAATGCCACATCCTTAGTATTAGTTGGAGGATTAGTACATAATTGTTTATATCAATGGGAGGAATTCTGCCCCATAATTGGTGTCAGTCGAAGGAAAATGCCCCATAGTTGGTGCCAGTGGAAGAAATGGTGGCTCCTTGTTGGTATCAGTGGAAGGAATACTCCAAGGGCTGGATAGAGACAAGCAAAGGGCCTGCAGCTGCAGGATCACTTCCATACACCCCAGTAACCTCCGCCCCTTCCCCCACATATGTGTCCCTCGGCAGACCCAGGACCAGCATGGTGGGTGCCGCTGGGTAGAGGGGAGGGAGATCAGAGAATGTCCATTCATTGATATCCCATTCCTGTTACTGGCCTGGATGTGACATGATAAATGTCACTTCTGGATCCTGGTGTCACTGCCATCTGCACTCCATTAGTTTCACTGAAGGACAGGTGAGACATCAGGGGGCTTTTAGATCCCTGATGTCTTATTAAAGCTAGGTTCGCACCTAGAAGGTTTTCCAGCACATTTTGCTGCATATTTTGCATGTCTGTTGTCATGCATGAAAAAGCACCACAAATAATGTACGTAAATGCGTTTTTGATGTGATTCCGTTAGAATCTATGGAGCCAAAAACTAACCGTGCTGCATGAAAAAAAAAAGTCCATGCACCTTTCCAAAAATTACCCCTAGGAACTAACTGTGGAGTTTCAGCAAATCTGAAAACACAGGTGAAAAACTATCCTCCAGAGAACCTGTCACCAAAAATGCACCATATTGGGGATTTTGTACGATGAAAAAAATGTTTAGTAAAAAAGAAAAAAAAATGTATGAAATTAAAGTTATACCCAAGCACTTAAAATTCCCCCCCCCCCCCCGAAAAAATTTTTTGAGCCCCCCCGCCACCCCCACATAAACACACCTACAAATGTAAATGTACACATCAGGAATCACTTCATGTTCACACCACAACTGCAGAAATACTCTGATCTGGGTGTGTATGGCCCAAAAACATGATCTAAAGCAGGGGTAGGCCACCTTAAAGAGGTGGAGATCTACCTGAACAACATGGGAGAAGTCACAGATCACCGAGCACAGTGTCGCCTCCTCACACCTGATTTAAACCTCTAATTGCCGTACTACTGTGTCACAATCGCATACATTATATGGCAATCATGGGATAAAATCAGGTGTCCAGGAGGCAACATATCAGTTCCTCACCACCTGTCAAACACACTCGGATTGCTTTGCAGAGGAGGAGCAGTGCCTGCTGCACTTGTGAAGGAGCCCTTATTTGCATCCGGCAGCAGCAATCTTGGGGCTCATTCACATGAAAAGTTGGGGGGTGGTAAAGTCACGGTTTTATCGCCCCCAGTCCCTACCCCCTTTGTTGCTGAGGCAGCAGCCAATGGTGTACACATGCTGCAGGAGAAATGACATCCCCTGTTGCTTTTGGTGGGTGCTACCGCCTGTCAGTTGAGACCCATTCAAGTAAATGGGCACTCTGCAGATGTTTCACAACTGCATGCTTCTGCGGGGTCCAAGGGGTGGGGGGGGGGCAGTTGGTGAGAAAACAACACACCGCTGCCTGTTTAACCCCTTGTTTGCTGTACTTCACAAGGTTGCAGGGAACTTGCAGAGCGTCCTCATTCACTTGAATGGGTCATTCTCGACAGGTGCTACACCCACCAACCATGACAGGGCGTCTACAGAGAAGACATCAGCTTATGAGGGTCTTGCTCCCTACTACAGTTCCAACTTTATAAGTAGTCCCTCTGCATTGCATTCTGTTTCATGCTGTTGGATGGCTGGTCAGCAAGCCGAGACCGTGATCTACCAGTCACCTGGCCGAGATCTATTGGTAGATCATGATCTGCAGGTTGCTGACCCCGATCTAAAAGCTGTTATAGGTTATGAAGCAGCCAATCAGAAGCCACGTTTCACTGTGCCAGAGCTGGTTCAAACATGGACACTAAATGCACCATTTATGAATCAGTGGTCAACATATAATCCTGCTGGACAGCAATAGCTTTTTTCAAATGATTTTCTAGTGGTTTCTAAAAGTGTGACTCGACAAGGGATAAACATGACATTCTGTAAAACTGCCCTGAAAAAGCTAAAAGATAAATCAGCAATAAAACAGGAAAAGTAACAAAAGGCAGCACTTTAAAAACATGTTTTCCAACTTCCCTCCTTTGGAAATGACATTACGCCTTTTCAAGTGAGGTGGAAAACAAAGGACAAGATGAAATGAAAAATTAAAAAGAATAGTTATTAAAGAAAATATTATAGATGCTTTTTGCCTCTAAAATGCCAGTTGCCTGGCTGTCTCTGGCATGAGTATTTTCTGAATTCTTCCTGGGATATCCCCATTGTATATCTCAGGAGGCTTCAGGAGTGGTGACACACAGCAACCAGAGGGTGCATATCATTGTCATTGAGTCATTGAGCAACTGGCTCACAATGACTGAGGAGGACCAAGATGGCAGCCAAGGACCTGGACTGTGACTCCTGAGCAGCAGATTACGCCAGGACAAAGCTGGATCCAGTGGGAATGTGAGTATAATGATCAAGTCTATGCCAACAGGACTGGTAAGGGAGCCTAAAAAACAGGGGGCAGTGAAATTCCTCTTGAAGGATTTAAATTCTTCTACAGTGAACTTTGAAATTGAATTGCTCCACAATGTCTGCAGCCACAGAGATCAGTGGCTGCAGGGCCATGGATAAGGGGGTATCACCAGTCCTCCTATACAGGGCCCAGGCCAACAGGGAGGCACAGCAGCTGGGTGAATCAGATGTAGGCAGGGAGGTAGTTCGGCTCGATAGGGGGGGGGCAATTACTGGAACTGATCCCCTGTATGGCTTTCTCTACAGCAGCTGAAAGCTAGCTTCTTCTCCTCTCCCTCCAGCTGGCTGCAGAGGGAGTCATTCAGGGGATTGGTTCCAGTAATTGCCCCCCGGTACACCCATTTACCCTCCCTTTTCACCATACATTTCCCCTTGCTGCTCAGGCCCCCCTGCATGCCCCCACCCCTGCAGTGCTGCCAGCTAACGATCGGTAACGATCACTCGCTGTGTTCATTCATAAACAATGCATTGTAAGCTGTGTCTTTTGTTTTCTTTTTGGTGGGGGGGCCCTCTCAGGTTGGCTGTATGGGGCCCCGTGATTACTAACAGCAGCCTGGCTGGCTGCCTAGACACAGAAGAAGCAATTGGTCCACAATGACTGAGAAGAACTGAGATGGCAGCACAGGACCTGAGCAACGGATCATAGCAAGAGAATGCTGGATCCACTGGCAAGGTAGGCATATGAATCGAGGACATCCCAGCATAACTGGAATGGAGACTTTAAAAAACAGGGGGCAGTGAAGTTCAATTTCAATGATTCTACAGTTAAATTTGAGATTGAATTGCTCCACAGCATCTACAGCTACAGAGGTCAGTTAGGGCTTTTAAAGCTCATTTTACTGATTGTTAGGAATATAGAAATACTGAAGTGTCTATAGCCTGCCCACATGTTAATGTTTTAAACTTTTTCTCCAGCCTAAGGTTTATCTATTTTTAATAAAACAAGAAGGGTTGCAGCTCTTTCAACTTTTTTATGGTTCCCTGTCTGGGTCACCACTGGGGAGATTTCTTGTTACTTTTTGAATCACAAAAGCACACCACATTCTTCACCTTGGATCCCACTATTGATGCCAAGTAGCAACTATTTTTCTACTAACACAGTCATTTTGATACTATAGTACCATAGACACCACAATAACAAACTTGTGTTGTATTGAAAGTATCAGGTTGTAGCAACGAGGAGAAAAAGAAAGTAAAGTCCGTAACAACGTATACATACAAATGTAAACCTACAAACATATTACTTACAGTCTGCTGTCACCAGAGAATCCTCTCTTGTAGGTAAAAGATGTTTAAACCTGATACACAGTGCACCTTTATGAAGAACCTTTAAGAAGTGGAAAAAAAACTGCTGTCCTAAAATTGTAGCATACAGTATAAACAGCAGAAATAGTGGAAGCGCTAAAAATAATACACAAATAATCAATGTGTCATAGATGAAGAATTCATACAACAATGAACACTTTTTCCAGTCCATATATAACAATTCCAAAGTGTAACATATTATTCCTTGTTAAAGTTCCTATATCTTGATTCACCGCCACTCATGTGCAAAGACAAAATGTGTATTCCGAATCATCGACTATGGAAAGCAGCTCATCATTTCTCTGACCCCTATTTCTAGGAAGGTCACAAAGCTCTTATGACAACCAACCATATGAGACATTCACATATAGGTTTGCTTCCACTCTGATGCAATAAGGTCAAAAATAAAAATGCAAGCTTATTGGAGTTCATTTATTTAAAAAAAAATGCTATGCATTTGCACAACCATCAAAAATAATTCCTATATTGTGTTTATTTTTTTTTATTTCCTATGATTGTAAGCATCAAGTAGTGGCCATAATGCAATATTTTCCTGATTGAGGTATTTCAGGAAAATACCGCATTATGGCCACTAGATGGAGCTGATGATCATAGGAAAATAAGTATATTAGACACAATACAGAGATTACCAGTGAAGGCGCAGACATTTGTACAACATTTTTTTTTATATAAATACGTATGTACTGAAAGATTATAAAAGCCATAAACTCACATTTGAGAAGTGAGAGCCAGTAGTGCATAGAGA